CAATACAGTTCCAATAATGCAAAGCAGAGACATCACCTGGACCAACTGATGCACATGGTACACTAATCTCTCAAGATGGAATTGAAGAAGAAATCAGGAAGCACTCAGCTACTTTTTCATTTATTTATTGGGGGAAGGGTAGGTCATACATAATCCAGTGCTCATGCGGAGGTCAGAGAACCATGACCAGTAGTTGTCTCTTTCCCGCCATGTGAATTCACATGTCAGTCTTGGCAGCAAGCATCTTTACCCACTGGGCCATCTCACCAGTCCTCAGCCACTTGTTTATTTTTTGCTTTTAAATGACATGGAATTATATCAATTCCTCCCCTTCCTCTCCTCCCTTCAGCCCTTCTCTGTTATCCTCACTTGAAAGCCACTTTCCTAATGAGCCACAATGTACAGGAGCACACAAAGAATTTCAAAATTCTGAAGGCTTTTGCTTCGTTTTAAATCCAAACTAGTTGTATTATAGCCATGAAATTTTTTCCAAAGTAGGACTAATTAGTATATAATGGCATTAAAACAAGTTAAAGCTTTAAAGCTATAGGTACTGAATTTAGAAACTAGATTTATTTATTTATTTATTTATTTATTTTCGAGACAGGGTTTCTCTGTAGCTTTGGTGCCTGTCCCAGAACTAGCTCTTGTAGACCAGGCTGGCCTCGAACTCCCAGAGATCCGCCTGCCTCTGCCTCCCGAGTGCTGGGATTAAAAGCATATGCCACCTCCGCCTGATTTAGAGACCAGATTTTTAATCCTGACCCTGTTTCTAACACTAGTTCTCACTAACAGATGCTTATGGTTCCTAAATTCCAGTTCCATCTACAAGTCAAAAATAGTAAGGCACTTGTAAGGGTTTTTGAAAGAATTAGAGTTTGTAAAGTTCTTAGCCAGGTGGTGATGGCACTTGGGAGACAGAGACCGGTGGATCTCTGTGAGTTTGAGAACAGCCTGGTCTAGAGTGAGTTCTAGAACAGGCTCCAAAGTTACAGAGAAACCCTGTCTCAAAAAACAAACAAACAAACAAAATAAGCCATTACATTTGTCGAGTTCTTAGTGCAGTCAGGCCAAGCGTGCAGATGGTGATAGTGAGTCCACCAACCTCATCTTCAGATACTGCAACTAGATCTCAGAGCAAGCTGAAGCTGCAAGCAAGTGAGTATGAAAACCGTACTGGGTCACTGGTTTTCTGAGTACATGGCCCTCAGGTGATGCAGCAAAGATTCTTTCTAAAACAAAGTCAAGAAAACTGGGTCATGATAAAAAGGGGTAATATTACTCTGCTACAATGTGCTTCCAGGGCCTGGAGAGGTGGCTCGGTGGTTAAGAACACTGACTGCTCTTCCAGAGGTCCTGAGTTCAATTCCCAGCAACCACATGGAGGGTCACAAACATTTATAGTGGGATCTGATGCCCTCTTCTGAAATAAAAGCATACATGCAGACAGAGCATTCACACACTAAATAAATAAATAAATAAGTTGATATAAAATACACAAATCAAAACAAAAATATTTTAAGACTAAGCATGGCTGGGCGATAATGGTGCATGCCTTTAATTCCAGCACTCGGAAGGCAGAGGCAGGTGGATCTCTGTGAGTTCGAGACCAGCCTGGTATACAAGAGCCCAGGACAGGCTCCAAAGCCACAGAGAAACCGTCTCGAAAAAAAAAAAAAAAGACTGAGCATGGGGTATATGCCATTATATCCTGAGTGAGATAACCCAGACCCAAAAATATGAATATGGTCTGTACTCACTTATTAGTGGATTCCAGCCATAAACAAAGAACATTGAGCCTATATAGTTCGTGATCCTAGAAAAGCTAAATAATAAAGTGAACCCAAAGAAAAACATATATAGATCCTCCCGGAAATTGGATGCAGACAAGATTGCCAGGCAAAAGTTGGGAGCATAAGGGTGGGGTAGGGGGAAGGGAGATGGGGAGAGAGAAGGAAGAAGGGGGGGTTGGGGAGAGCTTGGGGGAGTGGGATGGTTGAGATGGAGGAAGGGCAGATATGAAAGCAGGGAAGAAGATATCTTAATTAAGGGAGTCATTTTGGGGTTGGCAAAAGGCTTGGCTCTAAAGGGATTCCCAGGTGTCCACAGGGATTTCCCCAGCTAGGACCCTGGGCAGTGGAGGAGAGGGTGCCTTGTCCGGTAGTCAGACTGATGACTATCATGAATATCACCATAGAACCTTCGTCAGGCAACAGATGGAGATAGAGACAGAGACCCACAGCGGAGCACTGGACTGAGCTCCCAAGGTCAGTTGAAGAGCAGAAGGAGGGAGAATATGAGCAAGTCAGGACCGTGAGGGGTTGATCCACCCACTGAGACATTGTGCCTGATCTAATGGGAGCTTACCAAAGCCAGCTGGACTGAGACTGAATGAGCATGGGATCAAACTGGACCCTCTGAATGTGGTTGACAATTGGGGCAGATTGAGAAGCCAATGATAATGGCACTGGAATTTGTCTCTACTGCATGTACTGGCTTTTGGGGAACCAAGTCTATTTGGATCTATACCTTCCAAAGCCTGGATTGAGGGGGGAGGGCCTTGAACTTCCCACAGGGCTGGGTACCCTGCTCTCTCTTAGGAGTAGAGGGGAAGGGAGAGGGGAGGAAGTGGAAATTTTGAATGGTATTATTCAAAAATCAATAAAAAATAAATAAAATAGCCGGGTGGAGGTGGCGCACGCCTTTAATCCCAGCACTTGGGAGGCAGAGGCAGGCGGATCTCTGTGAGTTCGAGACCAGCCTGGTCTACAAGAGCTAGTTCCAGGACAGGCTCCAAAACCACAGAGAAACCCTGTCTCGAAAAACCAATAAATAAATAAATAAAATATACTGCATCTATGTAAGAAATTCTCAAAGAAAAAAATAAAACCATTATCTTAAAAAGGTGAAAAAAAACCTCTAAAATGAAATTATACAGTATATTTTGTTTGTTTGTTTTTGGTTTTGTTTTTGAAACAGGGTTCCTCTGTGTAGTCTTGGCTGGAACTCTGTAGACTGATGTAGGTGGGTCTTCTGTTTATGTGTTACTTTCATTTGTTAATAAAGAGACTGCCTTGGCCTTTTAATAGGGCAGAAAATTAGGTGGGCGGAGTAGACAGAACAGGATGCTGAGAAGAAGGCAATGAGGCACTCGCCATGAAGCTCGGGCCCAAGATGGACACAGGTTAGAATCTTCCTGGTAAGCCACCCTCATGGTGCTACAGAGATTACTAAAAATGGGTTAAAGCAAGATATGAGAGTTAGCCAAGAAGAGGCTAGATATAATGGGCCAGGCAGTGTTTAAATGAATACAGTTTGTGTATTGTTATTTCAGGGCATAAGCTAGCCAGGCGGCCACAGATTGGCCTCATAGAGATCTGCCTGCCTCTGTCTCCTGAGTGCTAGGGTTGAAGGACAGCGGCACCACTGACCAAACGATGCCAGACACTGCATTTTTCTAGTATGCCCATTTCTCTTGAAGACGGGAATCAGGAATCTTAAAACAAAACTGATCAGTAGAGACACGCACCACAAAAGCACCTTTATGTCTTGCAAAATTATACTTTCAAAGACAAAGAACAGTTAGGATCTTTAAAATACACAGAAAAAAGCTAAGCATGGTGGCATACACCTACAACCCGAGCACTGGGGAAGACTGAAACAGGAGACTCTTGCGCTGCATAGCTGCATGGTGATCATCCCTCCAAAAAAATAGACAAAAATATTGATAAGACTGATTGCATATGAAGAGATATCGGGATCTCCATTATGTGAAGCCAGATCCTCAGAGATCTCTGCTCACTTCCTTCCATTCTACAGTAAAAGTTTAAGACACATCACCTGGGCATGCATAAATAGATTTGGAACTATTTACACTAGCTTTACAAAAATAAACAATATAATAAATCTTTAAATGGGCTGGGCTGAGCTGAACACTGGCGGCTTATCCTAGCACTAGAGGGAGGGAGAGGCAGGTGGATCATGGAGGATCTCGGGAGTCCAAAGCCAGGATCCTCTACAGAGCGAGTTCCATGTCAGCCAGAGCTTCACAGAGAAAGGCTGTCTCGAAAAAACGGGGTGGCTGTAACCCCAGCATTCAAGAGGGGTGGGGGGAGCCTGAGAATTTTATGCTATCCTGAGTTACACAAGGAGACCCTTTCTCAACAACAACAACAAAAAAAAAAAAAAGATCAATGAATTCGTCGATGTTGTTTTATGTACTAGATTGCATTTCTATGAACACGGGACTTGACTCAAGGATTTAAAATGTGCACTTAACAAACGACGCGTATAACAACTTGACTGGGAGGAGCGCTACATCAATTTTATACCAAACTTAAGTGGTTCTTGAGTTTCAAGCTTTGAAATAAATACAAACAAAAATGTGATGAGATAAAAATAAAACAACAAAAGCCCGGCTTCGAATCCTTTGACTTTCGAATCACTTTTGGAAGATGCAGGAGGCTGGAAAAGAAAAATGCTATTTTAAAGGAGCCTGCTGGGACGAAAAGAGGCAGCAGGCTATTTACTAGGGGAACAGCGGGGCGATCGGCAAGCCCCGCCTTCCTTCCAGGCAGCCTCTCCGAGCTGCCACGGGAAGGCGGAGAAAGCCGGCCAGGCAAGGAAGGATTCCAAGGAACGCAGGAAAGTGAGAACGAGTGCGGAGTGGGTGGAAGCGAGAGCGAACGCGGGTGGAAATACGAGGAAGGCGTGGCAGGTCAGCGGCTGGCCAACAGGGAAGATCCGTGGGCCGCAGACAATCAAGGAGAGCGTCTCGGCAGGAGGGAGCAAATCGAAGGGGTGCAGAGGGGCAGGCTTAAGCACGGGCTGCTGCGACAGCTGCGGTCGTGCCTGCGCGCCCCGGAGCTCTCCATTATGCGCGCCCCCGCCGCTCCCTCCCTCCCGCCCTCCCTCCCGCCCTCCCCACCGCGCCTCGGAGCGGCCGCCAGCCGCGCAGGTAGCCCGGTCCGCTCGGCTCTCGCGCAAGCCCTCCTCCTCACCAGCCGAAGAACGCCGACGCCCAGGCCTGGCCTTGTCCATCTTCTCCTCCGGCTCCTCCAGTCGCACTTCCAGGCGCTGTCACCTCAGGGCCCCTCGGGCTGGGGAAGGGAGGGGGAGGAGAAGAGAGAAAGCCAGAAATGAGGCTCGCGCTTGCGCACTAGCAGTCGCCTCCCTCCGACCGGAAGTCCCTTGCCCCGCCCACCTCGCCCGGAGCTGGCACTTCCCGGGACTTGTTTTCCCCAAGGGCTGCTACCCCTGGAGCCTTTGCTGCAGGGAGTTTGAGCAGCAGTGTCGCTAAGAGAAAGCGAGGCTTGGCATACGATTTTAACCTGTTGACCTTAAAGTTGAGGTCGACAGAAATTAAATATATGGAGTTACTTCAGTTTATTGCCTTTAACGAAGTGGCCTCAGAAGTATAAGCATAGAAATTACTCTGTGGTATTTCCAGCTGTGTGTCCTCAAGAAGCCTACTCAAACTTAGAACATGAACCGCAAAATATAGTTTTTCTTATAATCGTGTGATGTAAGAAACAATCAAATATGAGTCTTTTCTATCAAAAACTATAAAGCCTGTGTTTAGAACTGTTAGGCCTCAGGAAGTCTGTATATCCAGAGATAACAGTCTTGGCCCAGTAGTTAGATTTCTGGCTGTTACCCTTAAACCTTATACCCATGAAATAAACTCTATACCCAAGCTCTATCTCTCTGCATGGCCTGTCTGCCCGTCTCCCACTCACCAGGGCCTCGGGTCACCCGCAGCCCTTCGTGGGACCAGCCTCGGGTCACTCGGGTCAAAATCATAACTACATTGTTATTAATTTAGGGTTTGAAGAGAAACAGGTTAGGTGAGCGCATATGTTTAGTTTATAAAGGAGTTTTTTTTTTTGTTTTTTTTTTTTTGATTTTCGAGACAGGGTTTCTCTGTAGCTTTTGGTTCCTGTCCTGGAACTAGCTCTTGTAGACCAAGCTGGCCTCGAACTCACAGAGATCCGCCTGCCTCTGCCTCCCGAGTGCTGGGATTAAAGGCGTGCGCCACCACCTCCCGGCAAGGAGATTTATTTAAAATTAAAGTTTGCCTTATAAATGTCCCTCCATCCCCCAAAAAAAAAATGAGAAACGAAGCATGCTATCTCACACCTATAATCCCAGCACTTGCTGGGCAGAGGCAGGAGACCACTGTGAATTCAAGGCAAGCCTGGTCTCTATATACAGAGATCCAGACAAGCCACAGCTCCATAGTGAGACACTAAAGAGCAAGATGGTAAGAGAGGGGCGGCAAACCAAAGGGTACTCCAGAAAGTACTTGAGTCTAAATACCAACTTCGGAGCCAATGACACTCAGAATAGCCAGGGCTGCACATTTCCCAGTCCGTAGTCCTTTCTAAGTGTCAATTCAATAACATTAATTATATTTGCATTACTGTACAACCATCACAATGGTTCCCCCCCCTTTTTTTTTTTTTGTTTTTTCTCCTACGACACCAAACAGAGACAATGCACCATTATGCAGTTACTCCCTAAAAGTCTTCCCTCCCCAGAGGGAGTTTTAGTGCAAAATCCTGGCTCCAACTGTCACAACAGAGGGAGGCGAGCCACACAGTTGGGTGCACTGATTAGAAATAAAGGTTGGTCAGAAGCAGAAAAGGTGTTTTTAACCTGTGCATACTGGGAAGAGGAATGGATAAAGGGTCTACTGACCCCAAGCTTGTGTATGGGGATATTAATATGAACTTTACATTTAAGAACAGAAAGAAATGGGGCAGGCACGAGGCATGTGCATATTTAAACGATCCTCTTGATCAAGGTGTGGTCCCACCACATTTGAGCTCAAGGTGACTGAAGTCACAATAGTTAATGACTGTCTTTGCATCTGAGGAGCAATCTGATTCTGTTCCAGAGTATAGCTGCTCTAGCATAAATAATTGCTCTCAGTTGCAGGGTGATCTTTCCTGCCTATTGACCTTGCTCTTCCCAGAGACTGCAGAATTAAGACAATTATTTGTCTTTGTGTCCTCAACATTAAAGGGAAACAATCTCTAGATAGGCAATTCTTTTATTTTTTTATTTATTTATTTTTGGTTTTTTTTAAATATTTATTTATTTATTTTTGGGTTTTTGAGGCAGGGTTTCTCTGTGTAGCTTTGGCTGGCACTTGGGCAGCTGGCAACTTCGGGGGAGGAGCTACCGTAGCCACCAAGAACTCAAAACTGGGCTTTTTGGTGCCTTCCCTTTGTTAGAGATTCTCTGAGAGAACACTGCTGTGTTTAGTCCACTTTACTGATCTTTTAATTTATGGTAATATTTGTGTATTATTTGAGAAATCTTTGCCTCCTTTAAGGCTTTGAAGATATCCTACTTTTTCTTGCATAAACCTTGTTTTATCTTTGACACTTAGACATATGACCATTTTGTAATTAGTTTTTTTTTAAAATTCCATTCGGTTATCCCATTGTTTCCCTGGGTCTGATGTGATACTTACTATGCAAACATAAGAATTTAAGTTCCAATTTCCAACATCGTCATAGAAAGCCTAGTGTAGCTGTGTGCACCTGTAATGCTAGCAGTTCTTGTGGGTAGAGACTGGAGGATCATGGGCTCGCTGGCTGCTGGCCCCATTCCAGGATCAGAGAGAGACCTAGCCTGAAAAGAATAAGGCAGAGTGCAACGAACAGGACACCTGATATCCTCCTGTTCTCCCCACATGTGCAAGGTGTGTGTAACCTGCACCCGTGTCTGCATACATGCCGACACCACACATGTCCACATATATGCACTCAAATGTACAACCCCCCAAATTGCTTCAAGAGTTATTGGAAAAATCATCCATTTCTTACTGAACTGTAGTAATATGTCACAAGTAGATGACTTGGTGTTATGTATGTATATACAACCATTCATTTTTATTATGAAATCTATATAATTCAGTAGATTACAATTCTTATTTTTGAATAGGATCTCACCATTAGCCCTGGCTGTCCTGGAACTTGCTATGTAAACCACCAGGCTTGCCTTGAACTCATAGAGATCCATCTGTCTCTTCGTACTGAGTGCTAGGATTAAAGGTGTGTTCTACCATGCTATGGGTTATACTTGCTAAAACATCTTGGATTGTGTCTGATATGCTCAATGTTATTTATATTCATTGGTTAGCACAGTGAGGAGCATATGATAGCCATTAAGTAAATAATTGCTGTTTGAATGAGAGATTTCATATAAGAAAACCCCACAGGAAGTCTGGAAAATGTTGATGAGTAAAGAGTTAAAGTATTTCTGTCTGTGCAGCATGTATGTGAGTGTGATAGAGCTTGAGGGAAATATTTTTGTAGAATACTGCCAACATCTAGATAATTTCACCTCTGCTCTCCATCATAAGAATTTTCCAAAGTTGCCGGGCGGTGGTGGCTCTCGCCTTTAATCCCGGCACTCGGGAGGCAGAGGCAGGCAGATCTATGTGAGTTCGAGGCCAACCTGGTCTACAAGAGCTAGTTCCAGGACCCTGTCTCAAAAATAATAATGAAAAAAATTTCCAAAGTCTCGCCTAAATGGGGATTACAAATTGCTTCTGAAAAGAGTCAAAGAGGAAATTCTGTTAATTACCTAAGTTATAGAATAGGTTTACAGAAAATTAGAACACAAAAGGCACAAATTAGGAGAGACCAATTGCGGACTCTGAATGACTTTCAAAGATTGTTGGGAGACATTTCCAGTCTATGACCAGCTGTTGGGATAACACCTGATCTAACAGTTCATTTAAACAAAACTTTAGCTGGGCGATGGTGGCGGACGCCTTTAATCCCAGCACTCGGGAGGCAGAGGCAGGCGGATCTCTGTGAGTTCGAGACCAGCCTGGTCTACAGAGCTAGTTCCAGGACAGGCTCCAAAGCCACAGAGAAACCCTGTCTCGAAAAAACCAAAAAAAAAAAAAACAAAAAACAAAAAAAATAAAAACCTTTAGATGGTGATAAAGATTTGGATAGTCCCAGAGAATTAACAGCTGAAGCAGAAAAGGAATTGACAATTGTTGAGAAAAAATTACAGGAGGTACATGTGGATAGGGTGAATCCAAATCTTAATTGTATTCTAGCCATACTGCCTTCTAGAATTTCTCCTACAGGAATTTTAATGCATAGGGATGATATTATATTAGAATGGATCTTTTTACCACATAAACCAAGTAAAAAATTAAAAATTTATGTGGACTCGGAAGGCAGAGGCAGGCAGATCTCTGTGAGTTCGAGGCCAGCCTGGTTTACAAGAGCTAGTTCCAGGACAGGAACCAAAAAGTTACGGAGAAACCCTGTCTCAAAAATAAAAAAAAAAAGCAAAAAAAAAAACTTATGTGGAAAAAGTCTCTAAATTAATTATAAAAGGTAAATTAAGACATTGTCAATTAGCAGGTATAGACCCAGCAGAGATTATAGTGCCTTTCACGACTGATGAAATAAAAAAGTTATGGAAAGACAATGGCAAAGAGCCTGTGCTAATTTTTTGGGAGAAATTAATAGCAACTATCCCAAAAGCGACAGACTTAACCTTATAAAGAGAACTTCTTGGATTCTTCCCTGAATTGTATGTGATGGTCCAATAACTGGAGCCCATACATTTTATACTGAAGCAAATAAATCAGGGAAGGCAGGATACAAATCAGAAGATTTAATTAAGGTGGAACAAAGTCCTTATAATTCTTTCCAAAAGCCAGAATTATATGCTATTCTCATGGTGCTAAGGGATTTTAAAGAACCTCTTAATATAGTTACTGATTCACAATATGCAGAGAGAGTTGTTTTTCATATTGAAACTGCTGAATTTATACCAGATGATACAGAATTGACTTCATTATTCATTCAGGTTCAAGATATAATCAGGAATAGCCTTTGTCCCATATACATAACATACATCCAAACCCATATGGGTCTGTCAGGTCCTCTAGCACAAAGTAATGCAGAAATTGATTGATTATTGATTGGAAGTGTGTTGAAGGCCTCAGAATTCCATAAGAAACATCATGTCAATAGCAAAGGTTTAAAGAAAGAGTTTTCTATTAAATGGCAACAAGCGAAGGAGATTATAAAGAGATGCCCTACTTGCTCTTTCTATAACCAAACACCGCTACTTGCAGGGACTAACCCAAAGGGTACTCA